CTCTCCAGCCAGACGCTGTTCTATCAAAGCTAGACATAAAGCTGCGCACGCCTACTACTCCAGTAGCTGCTGTCGCAGAGGCTGTCTGGCAGGCTCGTACCCCAAGCAACGCACGCGAGCTTGAAGCTCAATCAACGCTAATACGTGATCGGGTTCGGGGGCATAAGAGCTCTTCGCCAGCATCAATTATTGCAGCAATTGACCAGCTTAAGAAGGGGGCTGAGGTTATGATGCTCTCAGCTGAGCTAATGCGCGATCGGGTCGCCAGCCTTGAGAGGGCTAACAAGGCAGCAACAAAGCGTAGGCAGCGTAAGAAGAAGCGGATACAGAAGCAAGGAGTGCTAACAAAGGGAGCTGGAGAGGATCTACTCGCTCAGCGCGAGGCTGATCAGCAGATTGCTCATGAAGAGCGTCAAGGAGGAGAGCGATCAGGTGTCAGCCGCCAGGCTTTAGCGCGCTGCAGTAGGTGTAGGGAGACTGGCCATAACTCTCGTACGTGCAAGAAAGATACTCTAGGTACTGCTTAATCTATTATGTTAATATATAGTAAAACAAATATATTGTGGTGGAGCTACAGGCTTATAGAGGTGCGCAGGTTTGGTGGGGTGCGCGACTCGCTTGCCTGCGCGACTCGCTTATCCACTACGTTACATACATATACTATTATTGTTACTGGCTATCCTAATCCCGAGCTGCCGAGTGCTACTACGACTACCACTGTATGGATAGGCAGAGACGAGCCATCTCTTTTGACCACAACTTCAACATGCACTCCATGTCCATGTCCATGGTGGCTGTGGCGTGGCTGCTGCATCCGAACTAGTCGTCTTAGCGCCTCATCTCCGACGACGTCAGCATCCCATACGCATGGCTTCTTTTGCTTTTGCCATGCCACTGCTTTTCCTACAAAGCCCTACAAAGCCGGCCCTGTCTCGTCCACCATCATTGCCTACAACCCCATGTCCAGGTCCCTCAACATGACTCGCGCTGTAAGTCGTCCAACCCCCCTCCTATCACGACTCGACACACTAACATGCCCAGGCAGTCGGACAAATGCGTTCAACCGCCTCCATGGCCCGCAACCTAACCCAGGCCCAATCTCTCTGCCGCAAAGCCCACGAAGCTGGCGCAAAGGCCCTCTTCCTCCCAGAAGTAATCTCTCACTACATACCTACTCCACACGTGACTGTGACCGACACTCCCCCCTAGGCAGCAGACTACATCACCACCTCGGGCGGCCTCCAACTCTGCAAACCCGTCACAACCTCCGAATTCGTCCTTGGCCTACAGCACTCGGCCAAACAGTACAATCTCGCCATCTCAGTCGGAATCCACGAGCCCACGTCGGACGGCCAAAAGGTAAAGAATACGCTCATCTGGATCACGCCCGAGGGCCAAATTGCCCACCGCTACCAGAAGCTGCATCTGTTCGATATGGACGTCGAAGACGGCCCGCAGATGAAGGAGTCAGACGGCGTGGAGCGCGGCCTCCATCTCGGCGATCCCTTCGATAGCCCCGTCGGCAGAATCGGCATGCAGATATGCTTCGACTTGCGTTTTCCCGAACCAGGCCTTGCTCTGAGAAGAAGAGGCGCCCAGGTGCTTTTGTACCCGGCTGCCTTTACCGTGCCCACGGGCAAAGCGGGCCACTGGGAGATACTGATCCGTGCACGCGCCATCGAGACGCAGAGTTATGTTATTGCCGCTGCCCAGGTGGGCGTGCACGACGATGAGGGCAAGAGGAGGAGCTACGGACACAGCATGATTGTTGATCCTTGGGGCAAGATTATGGCCGAGCTTGGGGGCGACGAGGGCGGGGACGGAGAGTGGAAGGATGAAGGCGAGATTGCAGTTGCAGACGTGGACCTTGACTATGTGGAGAAACTGAGGAGAGATGTGCCAATGATGAGACGAACAGATGTGTATGCCGATCTTTCATAGATTGCATCTCAACTGCATCGCGGACGTGCAAGAAGCAGTCTGGAATTCCAATTCCCCTGTATAGCAGGGTTTGTTGTTACATCTCGGGCATGAAATAGAACCTGGACCGCTTCACCCAGGACAAACTCAAACGCTCACAAAACCTTCAATCCCATGACCCATCAACAGCCTTCAAATCCTTTCCCTCCAACAGCCGTTGCTTACTAGCTAAGCTTAGCCACGCCAACGAGTGCTCTGCGCTCTCCAGCTCCTGCTCTACCCTCTGCCTCACATCCCCCACCTCACACTTGTTAACCTCTGCCAAGCACTCCAGCACCGTCGTGAATAGGCTCTTTTCACTGCCCATTTGCTTGTGCGGGCCCTGCGTCCTCGGCGGCTCAAACTCTCCCTCTCCGGTCCCCCAACACGGCCAATGCCAATCATGCGACCCGTACTCGTGGTAGAAGTTCAGCAACGTCGTCTCGCAATCCGACGAATCATGGTGCAGCAGCGTATCCGAAATGAAGCCAGGCCCGATACTCAGCGCCGCCTCTGCAAAGCACAGTTCCAGCTCGCTGCGCAGTTCGACTTGATTGGCGTCCATGAAGCGCCCGTAGGTGCGCTGATGGATCCAGCCCGAGCCGTGGTACCGTGCTGAGAGTGTCGAGTGGTGAAGAACTAGGTATATGGCTGCCAGGGGGTCTCCTTGCAATGACTTGATGTAGTCAAGTTTGCCCCCATGAGTTTCTAGAGAGGGGGTTTCTTTTCGTCAACTTTACGTCTGAAAAAAAAACAGATACGAAGACCTGGGCTGAGGGCTCAACCAAACTCACCAATGGAAGAGATACGGTGGACCAGCAGTAAGCCTGCATTGGCAAGTGAAATATTATGCCGCAGAACGGCGTTGAAATTATGCTCCGAGCACAGTGCATCCATGACATCGTCTATAATGTCATAGCTGCGTACGCAGTCGGCCAGCCAATCCACGTTGAGGTCGCCGTCGCATGGGAAATCTGTTTCAGCATGGCGGAGCTCTGTCCGCATGAAGCAGGCTGTAATGGAGCGCTCGTAGTTGTAGAACAGGGCGCGGAGCCGTGGGTGCGCGCTGCGGATGGCCGCTATGAGGGCGCCGTCGCCAAAGGGAAGATGCTGGATCATCTGCAAAACGAGCTCTGGAGGGATCCGTGGTGAGACTAGGAAATTGAAGTACACTGGTGATGCATCCGCCATGGTGACGTTTGAAACGATAGCAATATTGCCCGTGTATGCTCTATGCAATCAAGTCGTAGATAGGTGATGATGGCCGGCAGGATGCAGCTGACTAGACCCAATATGCCGAGGTAGGAGCGGAATGGCCATATAGGGTTGGAAACTTGTTGATAGGCGAGTAATTCAACATGTACATGTAGCGATGTATATACTCGGCCAGTGAAGACCGTGATGGATGCCAATGGGCACCGTGATGGCGGGCCGCTCTCACGATAGCATGCGCCCGTCACAAGGACCCTATGTGACATGATGTCAGTTCACGATGCATCCAAGTGTTTGCGCGCGCTTACTTGACCAAGTACCATGCTGCTCCAAGGCGAGGCTCCTTCGCACCCGTGCAGCATGCATCAGAGCAGACAAGGGTTGAAGCATGGACAGCCGCCTGGTTGCTGCACACGTCCACCACGTGTAGGGCCGGCTCATGCAGACAAGAGGGCGATCACGACGGCGATGGCGATGGCGCAATGTTAGGACCGAAACATGCAACACGTGGGGGCGGGGGTCACGGTATGGAACCTGGAGGTGAGCATGACGGTCTCTTAGCACAACAACGCCATGATACAGTACTATCAATGCGAAATGTCTTGGAGCTGCAATGGGCCCACGGAATTCCAAATTGCGCCATGCCCCTGGGTATCGTGTAAACTCCGCAAATGAGATGCTATATCCGTCGGACCCAGCCACGCGCAGCTACACAAGATCGATGCCCTCCCTCTCTGCCGCCTGCACGATGAAGGTTCTCGTCTTCGCATCGGGTGCCAAATCCAACGGTACATGGCCGTCCTTGTCCTTCTTGTCGAATTCGGCACCCAGCGTCAGGAGGAGCAATGCTGCGTCCCCATGGCCTTCACTGATGGCATGGTGGAGCGCAGTCATGCCGTCCATGTCGGTTGCGTTCAAAGGGCTCTTTGCGTCTATCAACGCCTTCATCATGGGGACGCTCCCGACCGCTGCTGCGCGATGTAGCGGCAATTGTCCTCGCCGGTCCTTGACTCGCGCCGATGCCGGGGGCTTCTGGGCGAGCAGCGTGCGGGCGATATCAAGATTGACTTTGGAGGCGCAGAAATGCAGCGCCGTTTGGCCATTGTTGTTCTTGGCATTGACATCGGCGTCCTTGGACAGCAGCAAGTCGACAATCGGCTCGGCGTCCTTGCGCGAGCACGCCATCATCAGCGGCGTCCAGCCCGAGCCGTCGGCAGCGTCGGCATCAAACGACTTTGCCTGTACCAGAGACTGCACAATCGGCAGGTGGTTGTACGACACGGCCCAGTGGATGGGCAGGCGATCGTCTGGGTCGCGGAGACTGGCAAGCTTGGGATTGGCGGCGAGGAGAGAGTCGACGCGGGATGCTGCGCCTTGGTCAGAGAGAGGGCTGGAGGGGCTCGTGCGGGTAGGAAGGACATGGACATGCCTTGGCCCTCTCGACACGCCTCGTGAATGGCGTACTTGGCTTTGTATTCTTCCATGGCGACTCCAATCGGCCCTTTGTATGCATCTATGTATCTATGTATGTGTGTGTACGTGGTTTTGGAGCAACCCAGCCGCGCCACGAATACTGCCAGGCGGTGGAGATAGGGCCTTGGCGCTGATGACGTCATGCATTCATCTCCAACTACTCAAGCAACGTACATGACACCCAACACTAACACATTCCACCCTACGGCGCACCCGCGCGCGCAACAGAAACCGTCAGACTCTTCACGTAAACATCCTGTGCCGCCCCACTCAGCGTCTCCCTCTTCAGATCAAAGGTCAACGAATACCGGACGCCTCCCGTTTCCACCGTCGTCTGGTGACTCAACGGCCATGGCGCAGATCGACTATGTCCCAACACATCCCATGCAACGCCATCTCCCTTGTATCGATTTTGAAAAATGAGATGGGAATTGGCCAGTAGTCCTCCACACTCGAGGATTCCCCAGACCGGTCATGCTGTCCTGTAATCGCACACGACTGTAATCGGCACATCACCCGTCTCCAAATAGACGCGAAGCTTCAGAGCCAAGACCATAGGATGAATGGGCGTCGCATATCTACTCTTTGTCAAGAAGAGTCTATCGGTGTGGTCCCATAGCGTTTTGGGCAAGGCTGTCTCGACTCTGAGATCGTCTGCAAAGGGAACGTGCAATGCGCACATGCGGTAGAAATCTGATATCTTGGTCTTGGAAAACTGCGGATCCAGAACAATGTAGAAGTTGCCAACGCGTTGGTCGACATATGGAGACACGACGCTGTCCATGTCGTCGTAGTCATGCAGTCGGCAAAAAAGACTCGGCCCGAGTTTGCGCAGATGAATACCCATGCGCCTCTCGCTGCTAAACCCCAGGTTTATAAAGTAGACAATTTGACGAGAATTGTTTGCTTGCTTGAATTCTGCCGTCCGTATGTTGAGCTCCGTAGTCATGAGAAGGCCTCTGTTCGTCGTCGAGAACTCTAGAGACAAGTCGGGAAAAGGCAAAATATCCGAACAGTTGGCAAAGTTCTTGGGAGACGGAGCAAAGCATCCAACAAAATATTCATAGGTACCTGGAGATGGGTCCCAAGCAAGGATGGTGAGGTCGTTTTCCCGCTTGATGATTTCCTCTTGTAACCGGCGAAAAGCCTTTTTGCCTTCGCCATAGATCATGGGCATATTGACGTCAAAGATTCCCAGCAGACAGTATGCCATATCTTCCTGGCGCTTAGTTTGACGGTTCGCTGCCCATGACATCCTCACGGCCACGCACACGGACGACGGTTCGCGTAAGCCAAGCAAGACGCCTGAAGGTATCTTGGTGAAGGCCTCAAGCACCTCGGCCTGGTCGTGTTTGGTGCCTTTAAATTGCCAGTTCTTGCTGTAGAATTTCAGCGTCGCTGGCGCCACGAGCTCCTGCAGTGTCCAGCCTCGTGAGAACCAACGACACCGATGCATCTCATCTTCAAGCGCAGCCCCAGCCTCAAGATCAGCGAGAAAGACATAGCACACTTTGGCTGCCCTGTACCATTGGAACATGGAGTTGATGGACTCTGTCAGTTCGGCACTACTCGACTTGTCGACTGGATCAACGGAGACAAAGTATTAGCAACCTTTCGTCATGGCCCCTGTTCGCCGCCACTGGAAGCATACAACTTACTAAACCCATGTCAGTCCCATGCGACCCTGTCTTGGTAAAGTGAGGTGTCTCACCTGCAGCATGTATCCACCCAGAAATACGCCAAATCATCCTCTGCAGCCTGTCTAGCGCACAAGCAAATTTTCTCGAACCCCGACTTGGCTCCACCGGTTCCTTGCACCATGTCCTGGTATGTGACTTCTTCATGATCCGCCCCCCATGTGTGCGACAGAATGGCATAGGGTGGTGCGTCTTCTCCAACAAACTCGACAAGGCTGAAACTGCCGTCGTCGTCGATGTGAACAAGACGCATGTGCTGTGTGTATTTATACTGGAGACCGTCTTTATGCTTTATAGGATGGCTGTTCGAATTCAAGATTATTCTTGTTGGTATTTCCCAAATTCTTCGAATGCGTGTCGTGACAAAAGGCAACAAGACAAGGGCTTTGGAGGGGCAAAAGTATCCGAGGCGAGGCTGAAAGGCTAAGCCACCACCACGTGGTCTCCGCAAGCCCAGGCACAAAGTCACGGTTTTCCCTATCTCATCGAGTGATTGTGATTCTCAGAGTGCTGGAATTAAATAAGTAATGAGTCGTCATTACCATGCCATCGGCCCCACCAGGCTTTCCCCAAGCTCAAAGCTCACTCTTCCACGAGAGGTCCTCCGGTACACCCATTTGCCTTTGCTGGAAATTCAGGATCCGCTGGAGGAAGATTGGCTTAATGCTGAGCACGCCAACCGTGCTCAAAAAAATCATGAGCAGGACACCCAAACCTACACCTAGGGCAATGGCATCTTGTTGTCTGCGCACCTTTCTCAACCACGCCTTTGTGTCTTCAACGGCAATGTTCTCGTCAGTTGCTCTTCGTACGCTCATCAAGCCCGGAAGGCCATCAAGGGACCGATGGTTGAACTGCTTCTGGTAGTCGTTGAGTTCTTGCTTGTCCATCATCTTGCGTGCCCAGTTCTCCATGGTTTCCCGATCCTTGAAACCATTCGCCCCATCCGCCTCGGGCGCGTGGTCCACGTGCGTAATAGCATCACCGGCAGCTTCTGTGCTGCCGTTTTTTCCATTGGCAATTTGAGGGACTCCGAAGCCACAGCTCGTCTGCACCTTTTGCACGCGGAGAACAATGACTGCTCTCACACCGGCAATGTCAACCTCGTCTCCGTTCTCTGTTGACATCTTGGCGCGTATCTGGCCAAAGTACGGATCCCACTTTTCGACTACCCTTCCTTTGCAGAACAGGCGCATGATTTGCGGCGAAGGCCCGAACGAGGAAAACATGACGGTGACGCGGCCATTCTCGTACACGTGGGAGATGGTCTCACAGCCGCTGCCGGTAGCGTCGAGGTAGGCGACTGTGTTGGGTCCCAGGACGGAAAAGGTCTTGGATGGGTGGCCCTTGGGCGATATATTGACGTGTTCACCGGCCCATGGCGCACTGGCAACAAAGAACACGAATCTCCCATTCCACATTTGTAATGCTCACTTCCTCGCCAGCCTTCTCGTCATAGTCGTACCATTCGCCGTCAGGAAGCTCGATGCCCGAGAATTTGGTGCCAGACTCTATGCCCGTTGCAAGAAACTCGCCCTCTGCCTTGAATTCGGTAAACTCTAGCCCTCTGCAGTCGAACTCGAGTATGTTGGTCTTCTTGGGCGGGTCGCTTTGTGAGTAGGATGCGGGCGCGGATTTGACGTTTGCCGAGTGCTCTCTCTGTTGGGCGTATCAGCGACCTGGAGTTGGAGGCGGGGCGTGGGACAGCACAACCTTGCAGTTCTTGCATTTCCACACAAAGTTGGCCTCGCCTTTGCTGCCGCTTTGCTCGTTCATCTCGAACCGGTTGACGGTGACATGGTTGGGGTGCACTTCGCGACATGACGTGCATTGGACTTTGAAGGTGTAGAAGAAAGGCGCGTCTTCCGTGTCGTTGGGGCGCAGGTCCGTTACTCTGTGAAGCATGATCATCAGTACAGCGCCGGTTACGTTAGACGCCGTCAATGGAAGAGCTACCCATTCAGGTCTGCTTTCAGTGCTAGTGCGAGCACCATGTTGTGTTGACTGTGCCGTCGTCGTTTGGCATGCGATGTTGCCCTCCCCGCCCCCACCAGAGAGAAGCTGGGCTGGGTGCCGGCCTAGTCCCCAACGGGCATGGTGTCGTTGAGTAGCGTGCATCTCGACTTCTCCCAATCTTCGTGCGCGACATTTTCGGGCGACCAACGTCTCCTCTAACATTCACAAGCTATTAGCCGAACCACACACTCGCTCTCCAGCCTCCAAAACAGCCCAGGCCCCTCTCGTCTCACTCATCGACTCTCCGCACGTGGAGCCCTGGTCTCTTTCATCCCTCGCCATCTGCTCTCATATATTCCTCTTTCAGTCGACTATCCAGGGCATCCCGCATACATCGTCTTGGCACTTTTCACGACACTTTGATCGCCCAAGGTTGTTTTCTCGTCACAATCGCAAGTTCCTCCCATACATCAGCTTTCATCTCAGCAAACGCGCCATCTTACACGCAAAATCCCTGACCGCCACTTTGCCCCCCCCCCCACGCCCTCAACATGGTCAAATTTTATCCGTCCCTTACCCAGGACCACATCGACTTTATCACAGAACAGCCCCCCGCGCATAAAGTGCCCGCCATGCACGATTTTCAGCCTTGGGGCAATTCACAAATCGGAAACCGACTTAGTAGAGTATGGAGCGAAGAGCAGCAAATCAATCTCAGCCTTGCACTGCAAACAGCAACATCTGCTGGCGTTGCTATGGGGGATGTTGCAAAGAAGACAACCGCGGCGCTCCAATAATCAGCTAGCAGCGCCGTTAAGAGAACTAAAAAGCAGAGACAATCCAAATTCTGTCGCACGATAAAGGGGGTTTGAATCATTCTCTCATATATCGTGCGCAAATCAAATCGCACCTACTGCCCTGCACTGTGTCGATTACCAAGAAAGTACCTCACAACCATGACATGTTTACTCCATGACTCAGATCAGCATAATTCCAGCTCTAGCTGCATATTAAAACCAGTCGTGTCGTGGTGTAGTGACTCGCTTGGTTTGCAGAGGGGCTTGAATTATGTAGTAAGAATGAGTCGATGGAATCCACTCTCATTGGCCCTAAGAAAGTCTGCTAAGATACTAGGCACCGCTGTCTTGGATTACTGTAGTAAAAATTGGTGCAATGAACAGGGAGCCCTGTGGAGTTGCCGGCCCATCCGGCAACGGTCTCATCACAAATGGAGTTATTTGTCACTAAGTACACTTGGCGTTCTACAGACACACCAACGTCAAGTTTTCTAGAATAGGTGTAATTTTTGTTAAATATATACAAATCCCTTACAAGAAACTAATTACAGCAAGTTTTAAGACGTGCAGCGTGCGCGCTGTGGAGCTATAAGCTATAAGAGCAGATAGTTAGGACACGTCTCACACTCAAAACAAAAACACACACACACACCAACTTTTAAGCAGAAATCTTTCATCAAAACTCGTCAATTTTCTATCAGATATAGGGGTAACACGTCGCGAGAAACCGATTTACGCCACCTCTGATGTGTGCAGCCCTCTCGTTGAGGTGCTAGAGGGGGTATTGTCGGTATTCTTGCGACGTGTTCGAAATGCGAAAATCTTCGAGAACGCACAGACCGCCCCGATGACTAATAGGGAGACTACTAAACGAAACTAAAAACAATTAAAAACACCAAATAAAACAACAAAAATCAAAAATCCTATATCTAAACGCCGAGACAGCCTGATCCCGCTGTGGCACCATATCCAACCGCCAGGACAGTCTTTGCCTACTGTGGCACAAAATTCAAAAACGCTATAACAGTTTTCTAGTCTGTAATAGCAAAATAAGTCGAAACGCCGAGACAGTCTTCGCCTACTGTGGCACCAAATCCAAACGCTGATACAGAGACTGGTTACCTCTGTAGAAGCACTAAGG